TTTTTTTTTTTCTCTGAAGAACAACTTTTCACGGAGACAAACAACCCAAAAACAAAAACTTTCGTTAAATACCTGCATTTATTGGAGCTCGTTATTTGAAAAAAAAAACATAAAGATGAATCGCTCATTAGATGAATTAACAGCCAGTGAATTGAATGCCGCCATTGACGATACCAACTTCCCAAAAGCTCGGAGTACACAATGCCTATCGCAAACGCAAAGCAATGGTGATGAAACAAATGCCCATCAAAATGGGAAGACTAACCACGCAACAGGCTCTTCACTTAACGGAAATGATGATAACGACAATGAAAATAACCATGCAAGCGATGGTCAACAACAATCAACTGAAGCACTTCCAACACAAAATGGCATTAAGGGATTTATTAAGCGTGCTCATCCAGCGCCATTAAAAATGGTCGCATTCAAAGGCGACTCAATCGATCATCCAGGCACACCACGAACACCAAGAACATCCACCACACCAGGTAAGATTACGATTCTCGTGCCAAAGCTGTCATCAAGTCTTGCAATCATCTGATTATACAATTTAGCAATAGATAGCTTCTCGTACACAAAATTCGAACGAGATGGACGATGATTGAGAAACGGATGACGATTTTATTTTTATCTCAGGCATTTATGGAAAATGTTATTCAATGATATTGACATCGAAAGGAATGGCAAGAAGATTTGAAAAAAAAAAGAAGATAAAAAGTAGAATGAAAAAACGACCGAAATTACTGCACGAAACATGTGAAAATCGACAAATCCGTAAAGAAACAAAAAAGGGAGGGTGAGCAATCTGCAACTTGTTGCTTTAAGCTCATTTCATACATTCTAATGCTGTTACGCTTCAATTCTATTGAATGCTGCTTAAATAGACGTTTCAAGATTTTCTACAGTCCAAAAGTCGCAAAGAATGGCAGCTTTTTTCTCTCTCTCTATATTCATAATAAAATCGAAATAAGTTCAAGATTATCGATAAATTTCAAAAAGAGAATTAGAAATGAAGAGAAAAATGCGAAAAAAAAGCAGCATCATAAAATTGGTTGAAATAAAAAGTCGTTGCTCGATTTACGACTTTGGACCGAGTATCTCTAGATTAATGACTTGAATCGAAATCTATTGAATTCACGTATTCACGTGTGTGATTTCGTTCTGTATGTTCATTGTCACCGTCGTTGTCGTCGTCGCCAAAATGAGGAAAGGTTAAATAAATGAAGGATAAAATTTGATTCATCATAGCTGGGATACCCCGGTGCCTGCATATGTCATGGAATTTTGTTCGCAAGCATTTAACATGAATGTCGTTAACCGACATCTAAATAGCCTAATTTGGTATATTTAGTCGTACATTTGAAGAAGAAGAAGAAGAGAAACAATCAATCCATTCAAATGGCTGTTCAATTTGCACAACATTCTTGAGCCAATGGAACGAACGGCATACAAAGTAAACACAAAAAAATATGGACGAGAAATACATTGTGCGTCTCGGTTTGTGTGTATGCGTGCATGTGTGATAATTAATGCTTAAACTATCGCACTTTAATCTGTTCCGACATAATTAACAATTAACTTACTATGTGCAAAAATAAAATTACAAATGTTAATTTCCGAACAGATGAACGAAAAAGGTCACCGAAGCTATCAGTAAATTAAACATTTTCTATTGAATCCGCATAGCGGCCAGAAAAAAGAAGAGTGATAGCAATTAAATAAACAATAAAAATGATAGCTGTTAATTGTATGTATAGGCTGTTTTGCTTGTAAACGTCAACACTCATTAGTAATAGCCCAATAAGTAATTAAATGCCACTCTCATTCATTTCGACGTCGAAAAGAGTATAGTGATTTGGTTCATTGAATTTTTTTTTATTCTACTTCTTCAACGCTACATATCTTATGTGTTTTAAAAGAAAGTTGTCTCCTTTTGAAGCTGATTCTATGATATTTGACTATTGCATCACTAACAAGATTCAAATTCTCACAAACAAATCCAAACTGGAAATTTATAATGACACACCAAGGGGAAAAATTGGATTTATCAAGCTATCTGTTGCTTCTCATGTGATACGACGAATAGACACATTGTTCGCAGTTTAATAATTTAGTGATTTTGGTCATGAATACCATCCACATATTTACATAAAAAATCTATATGCGGAACGGACAAAAAAGCTCCAGAAAACATGTTATATATATATAACACACAGAACCACGTATACGCACATGCCAAGTATTATTTACTGAGAAAAAAAGGTGTTTCATTCAAGAAAGACTGCATTTCGAACGATGAATTTTGAAGGAAATTTGTTCTGAATTGAAATTAATTATGTCAAATTGGTGACCGAATAAATGGTGATTCTTAATTGAGGCTGTGAGAATGAAAATGGCAATACAGGAATAAACATTCTGAAGCGCATCAAGAAAAAAAAATTCGCAAAAGTGAATCATGAGTTCTGAATACGCAAAAGTGAACCATGAACCTCCTATGCTGCCCATGTAAATTCATGTTTCACTTTTGCATATTCAGAACTCATGATTCATTTTTGCGAATTTTTTTTCTTGATGCGTTTCAGAATGTTTATTCCTTTATTGCCATTTTCATTCTCACAGCCTCAATTATAGGTCATTTTCAATTATAAAAACCATTATCCACCTGCATCAAAAATAGACAATAATACCATGTAATTAAGTTAATTCCCACTTGTTGCAATTAATGGATTGAATTTGTGGATATCAGTTGTGAAGTGCGATACTGTTGCAAAAAATATCGATAGTGGTGTGTGTATGTGTTGTGTGTGTGCGCTCGCAATCGCCACAAAAATATATATAACATATATTTGCTTTTAACGCACATGACTATTCTCATTTTTTTCCTTTCTTCTTTTGATTGTCGAGTTGCGCACAACTGATTCACACACAAGTGGCCGATTCAATGATCTGTTCTTATGTACAGTTAAATTTCAAGACGGTTAAATACAGACACCCCTTAATTCGGAGTGTGGTGAACAAGTGAAGTCTTGAAAGAATAATAAGTGAAATCCAATGACATAATGTGGTGAAAGGGAATAATTATTCGTGTGGGCATGGATATTTACATTTCCATTTCCATTTCAATTAAATCAGTTGCTGTGCGCAAACTTTTTTTTCACTTGGATCTGATTTTCAATGGTTTATTGTATTTTCGTTTTCTTTCAATTTGATCGCTTTGCAGGACATGAAAACTGTACGTTTCATCATGACTTGGAATTGGATCACAAGCCACCGACACGCGAAGCTCTATTGCCCGATATGGCACAGTCATATCGCATGCTGTTGAGTAGCTTAGGTGAAGATCCAACGCGTCAGGGGCTGTTAAAAACACCGGAACGAGCTGCCAAGGCAATGCTTTTCTTCACCAAGGGATACGACCAAAGTATTGAAGGTGAGTTCTTTCTTTGATCATTATTGTGTTGAAAACCGCCTTTTCTATTGAAATTGGCGTGAAAAATGTGTGCGAGCCTAAAACGGTTGTTAGTACGACGAAATTGAAGTTCATTCAGGTGCCAAGAAACTTTCTCTTTCTTTGGTAAACAAAAATCACTGTGTTGAGCTTTGGCTCTTAGAAAAATGGGGCACTTTCGCACGACTCGACTTTCTTCCACTTGTAAAAAGTCGAGTTGCTCCTTGTGTAATAAGATATTATTTCCTATTTGTTCATTCATCGATTCACGTGAGCCAACCCACTTGCTCTACTTCGAAATTTATTTGCATAACTCAAATATGAATGACACTCAAATGACGGAGGAGTTGAACTATTGGGAAAATATTGTTTGTCAATTGCCAAAACTTACTAGTTATACACTTCAGACGTTTTTTTTTCTCTCTCTTCGTAATTCAACTTATTTGAGTCGCCTTGACTCGATTGACGGTGGTATCGGTGGTTTTTGTGTCACATTGGTTGGATTTGTGGTTTTAAATCATTTTCCAATCAATGATATGATATAAGTTTGTGCTTTTATTTTCTTCGTCATCTAATGTGCACCGTTGGATGCATTGGAAAGCACACGCAATTGAAAAAAATATTGACAATTCTTGCTCTCAACAGGTTAGACTGTCATGTAGTTTTTGCTTTGTTACATATACCAGTTCAGTCGACTTTGGTCAAGTGCTCTTTTTATTTTATTTACATTTTTTTTAATTCGTTGAACGAATGCTCTATACGAATTTGCATCTGCTCCATATTTACTTAAAACATTTATTACTGCTGTTGGTGTTGTTGTGCGTTTTTCCCTTGTCATGTTTTACATTCAAAAATATGGAATACGTTCACCTGGAATATTTACACAAATGAAATGAAATTAAATTGAATGACAATTCTCGGCTGTGATTAAGAGCATGGGTAAATAAAGTACGCATGGTAATGGATGCACTTGAACAGCAAGACCAGTTGAACATTTTTTTCATCAACTTCACGTGTTGACTGACACGCATTCACAAATCATTGGACTCTTGTTATTGTTGTTGTTGGTTTTTTTTCGTCTGCGTTGGCTCATAGTATGAATTTAAAAATAGATTCTCATATTGGAGTCTAGTTTTGACATTTGTTGTATCCATGCACTTAGCCCAATTGTTTCGATGGGTACACATTTTTGTTTTTATGTTCAATGAACACTTTTTCATTGCCACAAATTGTGGTCCGCAACACAAGCGAAAATTCCAATCGAACATGCATTTGGAATACAGACAAAAAGAATCATATGAAAAAACAAAACAAATTATGGATATGAACAACATTGAAAAGAAGAACAGTTATTTACTGATGGTGTGTGTTTTTTTTTCTCAATTCACAGAAGCATTGAATGGAGCCGTTTTTGACGAGGATCATGATGAAATGGTCGTTGTGAAAGACATTGAAATGTTTTCAATGTGCGAACATCATTTGGTACCGTTTTATGGAAAAGTGTCGATCGGCTACTTACCGAGTAAAAAAATTCTCGGCCTCAGCAAATTGGCAAGGTAAGTAAAATGGCATCTGTGTAAGACATATCTTTTCTCTCTATCTCTCTCTCTCTCTCTGTGTGTGTTTGGATCGGTATTTTTTTTTCTTCAAATTTATTTGTTTGATTTTAATTTTCTGAAGCTAACACATAAAATGAAACGAAAGGGAATAAACATAAAAATACACACACACCCAAAATCTATTCTTTTGTCTCTATTTCGGGAAATTTTTAAAATTTCTATATGGGCCAAAAGATAATTTTTTGACATAAAAAAAAATTATGATTCATACAATTATGCTGCATAATTCAAATCTCTAATGTCTACGACAATCATTTGTTTCGAATATCATTGCCACTTTTGGGACAAAAAAAAACATACACACTACATATTGTGCCTATTTCGACCAACACAAAAACCAAAAAAAAAACTTTCGTGAAGAACCAAAAACATTGATCTCAATTTCATACATCATTTTTCCGGAGCAAATAACGGACACATATGCGTAAATTTACGTTCAAACGATATAGATCATTATCACTTGTCAAAATTGTCTGAAATCCACAACAAAAACCAATTGACCAAAAACAAAAATCAAAAGAACTGCATATAAACTTGCATCTTGCATCATGAAGCCAGCCGCTCAATTGTAGACACATAACATGAATGTGACTGAAATAATATCCATTTATCTATTTTGATTTTGTTGAAATATACGCAATGATGAAAAAATACTATTTTTCTTTTTGTAAAACTTTTGTAGTCAGCATAGATACGGATCGGACTATAATTTACTTGCTCGGTAAGAAATTACATTCCAAACACCACTACCAAACCAAAAAAAAAACACAAACACACACAAATCAAAAAAAGTATTTTTTTGAAAAGCACAATGTTTATGTAGAGACTTATGTTGAATCCAAATGCTCATACTATAAATTTATATGACAGA